TTAGGTGCATCTCGTTATTGGGCCGCGAGAAGGAGCAGCCGGACCCTCAGTGTGGTCCAGGAATAGTACCACAAGCCATTCTCCCCTCCCCTCTTCCTGGATGGAAAGCTCACACCCCACACCTGAACCTCAAAGTGCCAGATCACACTTTCCCAGCTTCTGTGGCTTCTGGAAATATCCTCCCCACGTAGAAAGACAGAAAGGCCAGGTAAGTTCCTCACGCCTGTAATCCCAGCATTTTGAATGCTAAGGAGGGAGGATGGCTTGAGCCCAGGAATTGGAGATCAGCCGAGGCAACATAGCGAGACCCCATCTCTACAAAAACATTTTTTAATTAGCCAGACTTGGTGGCAAGCATCTGTGGTCCCAGCTCCCCAGGAGGCTGAGGTGGAAGGATTGCTTGAGCCCAGGAGGTAGAGGCTGCAGTGAGCTAGGATTGTGCCACTGCACTCCAGCCTGGAAACAGAGCAAGACTCCTCTCAAAAAAAAAAAAAAAAAAAATTAAAATTAAAAACATAAAGGAAAAAAGGGAGAGAGGGAAGGAGGAAGGGAGGGAGAGAGTGAGGAAGGGAGGGAAGGAGAAACATGGAAAAGCTCCTGCCATTCCTAGCCTGCCTTGGGCTTTGTTTTGTTTGTTTTTATTATTTGAGATGGACTTGCTCTGTCGCCAGTCTGGAGTGCAATGGCACGATCCTGGCTCACTGCAACTTCCACCTCCCAGGTTCAAGCAATTCTCCTGCCTCAGTCTCCCGAGTAGCTGGGACTACAGGCGCCCACCACCATGCCCAGCTAATTTTTGTATTTTTAGTAGAGACAGGTTTTCACTATGTTGGCCAGGCTGGTCTCGAACTCCTGACTTCAACTGATCCACCCACCTCGGCCTCCCAAAGTACTGGGATTACAGGCATGAGCCTCCGCACCTGGCCTGCCTTGGGCTTTGAATGTAAGGATGCAAGAAATGTTCAAGCTGCTGCCACCATTTGTGACCAGAAGGAGCCAACAGTGCAAACACACAGTGTGGTAAGTGAGAGGTGGGCACTAGGGTCCTTGTGAGATCAGTGGGCCCCTGGGCTGACCCCTGTGCTGCTGACCACTGGCCTTCTTGCTGTAAGAAAAATACCAAACCCCTAATATTTAAACCACTTGGGGTTGGTTTTTGTCGTGTGTGTGTGTGTGTGTGTGTGTGTGTGTGTGTGTGTGTGTGTGTTTTGAGACAGGGTCTGCTCTGTTGCTCAGGCTAGAGTGCAGTGGCACAATCCTAGCTCACTGCAGCCTCAACCTCTTGGGTTCAAGCAATCCACCTCAGCCTCCTGAGTAGTTGGGACCACAGGCACATACCACCACACCCAGGTAATTTTTGAAGTTTTTTGTAGAGATGGGGTCTTGCTATGTTGCCCAGGCTGGTCTCAAACTCCTGGGCTCAAGCGATCCTCCAGCCTCGACCTCCCAAAGGGCTGGGATTACAGGTGTGAGCCACCGCACCCAGCCAATGGATTCTTTTAATACATCTCCCACCCCAGACTGTTTTCTCTTCCCCAAGTCCCCAAGCTCCCCCCATCACTTTGGCAGGAGCTGGACTTGGCAGGGAGGGGAAGCTTGATATTCACTGCCCGGAGTGAGAGGGTCATTTTCAGCAAAAGACACAGAAAAGACTTTGAGGCTCCAAAAACTTAAGACTTGAGGGGAGTAAAGGATTAGAGGAAAAAAATAAATAAAACTTGATGAGTCCGAGAAAGGCCTTCCAGCCCCAAGGCTAGAACAGGTTTCTGGGCCAGGGAGGAGAGAAACTGGAGAAGGCTTGCATTTTGGGATATTTCAAGATGTTTCAGGCATATCTCATACTTTTCCTGCCCCAAGCATTTCAGTCATATTTTTTTAGAGACAGAGTCTCGCTGTGTTGCCCAGGCTGGAGTGCTATGGTGCAATCTCTGCTCACTGCAACCTCCGCCTCGCAGGTTCAAGCGATTCTCCTGCCTCAGCCTCCCGAGTAGCCGGATTACAGGTGCGCGCTACCACTCCTAGCTAATTTTTGTATTTTCAGTAGAGACAGGGTTTCTCCATGTTGGCCAGGCTGGTCTTGAACTCCTGACCTCAAGTGATCTGCCCGCCTCGGCCTCCCAAAGTGCTAGAATTACACGTATGAGCCACCGCACCCGGCAAGAATGCAGTTTTAGAACAAGATCCGGATGCCCAGTGTGGTGATTACTACTGCAGTGTTACTGTGTTTAGGTCATTTTGGCAGACAAAGCTAGGAAATTCACAAATACACACACATATATGTATGTCTACTTACATATCTTCCCATCTATTTATGTTAAAACCCATGAGTTAGCTGGGTGCGGTGGCTCACGCCTGTAATCCCAGCACTTTGGGAGGCCGAGGCAGGCAGATCACGAGGTCAGGAGATCGAGACCACCCTGGCTAACACGGTGAAACCGTGTCTTTACTAAAAATACAAAAAAAAAAAAAAATTAGCCGGGTGTGGTGGTGGGCGCCTGTAGTCCCAGCTGCTGGGGAGGCTGAGGCAGGAGAATGGTGTGAACCTGGGAGGTGGAGCTTGCAGTGAGTCGAGATCGCGCCACTGCACTCCAGCCTGGGCGACAGAGCGAGACTCGGTCTCAAAAAAAACCAAAACAAAACATAACAAAAAACCATGAGTTTAATATCTCCTACCCTCCTCCAATGCTAGAGGGTTCATTCTCTTCATCCCATAAACCCAGAAAATCTGAGACAGGTCTCAGTTAATTTAGAGAGTTTATTTTGCCAAGGTTGAGGACGCACGCCCGTGACAGCCTCAGGAGGTCCTGGAGACATGTATCCAAGGTGGTCGGGGCACAGCTTGGTTTTATACATTTTAGGCAGACATGAGACATCAATCGATATATGTGAGATGTACATTGGTTTCATCTAGAAAGGCGGGGACAACTCGAAGCAGGGAGAGGGCTGTAGGTCACAGAAAGGTGAGAGACAAATGGTCGTATTCTTTGAGTTTCTGATAAGCCTTTCCCCTGTAATCCCAGCTACTCAGGAGGCTGAGGCAGGAGGTGGAGGTTGCAGTGAGCTGATATCAAGTCACTGCACTCCTGTCTGGGTGACAGAGAGAGACCCTGTCTCAAAAAAGAAGAATGCCTTCACCATCTGGGAATGCAGTCCAGTAGGTCTGTCTTATTTTATTCAGCCGCTATTCAAGATGGAGTTGCTCTGGTTCAAACATCTCTGACACTACTGCCCCCTAAACATCTCTGAAGTTCATCTGTTCCTCTCCCCAGTCATGACCTCTACCCAAGGTCATGCAACCATCACCTCTCGCCTGGACAGCTGCGACAGCCTGCCAAATTCTGCCCGCCCAAACCTTTGATTCCCACACGGTTCCTCTAGACCAGAGCTTCTGAACCTTCAGCTGCCTAGAAATCGCCTGCAGAGTTTGTAGAAACACAGAAACTCTGGCTCCCATTCCCAGCAATCTAATTCCGATTCAGAAGGTCCCAGGTCAACTGAGAATGTTTACTTTTTTTTTCTTTTTTTTTTTTTTTGAGATGGAGTCTTGCTCTGTCACCCAGGCTGGAGTGCAGTGGTGCAATCTCTGCTCACTGCAATCTGTGCCTCCCAAGTTCAAGCGATTCTCCCACCTCAGCCTCCTGAGTAGCTGAAATTACAGATGCCTGCCACTATGCCCGGCTAATTTTTGTATTTTTAGTAGAGATGGGGTTTTGTCATGTTGGCCAGGCTGGTTTCAAAGTCCTGACCTCAAGTGACCCACCCGCCTCAGCCTCCCAAAGTGCTGGGATTAAAGGTGTGAGCCACCACGCCCGGCCTAATTTTTGCATTTCTAGCAAGCTTCCCTAGGGCATCTCCTAGAGGAACCCAAGATGTTGCAGAGGCTGAGACTGCACATCTTCAGGTTATACTTCCAGCAGCAAGACTCTCTCTGCGCTGTCCAATACAGTAGCCACTAGCCACATGTGGCTATTTAACTTATTAAAATAAAATTTGCCGGGTGCGGTGGCTCACGCCTGTAATCCCAGCACTTTGGGAGGCTGAGGCAGGCTGATCACAAGGTCAGGAGTTTGAGACCAACCTGGCCAATATGGTGAAACCCCCGTCGCTACTAAAAGCACAAAAATTAGCCAGGCATGGTGGTGGGTGCCTGTAATCCCAGCTACTCAGGAGCCTGAGGCAGGAGAACTGCTTGAACCTGGGAGGCAAAGGTTGCAGTGAGCCGAGATCACAGCACTGCACTCCAGCCTGGGTGACAGAGCAAGACTCCATCTCAAAAAAATAAATAAATAAAATAAAACTTAACATTCAGTTCCTCAGTCACGCTGGCCACATTTCAGCCACTCAATAGCCACAGGTTCCTAATGGCTACCCTATGGAACAGCACGGATTATAGGATATTTACATCATCGCAAGAAGTTCTACTGGACAGTGTGGCCTAGACCTTGGTGAGTTCTACTGGACAGCATAGCCTAGACCCAAGATTTGTTCTAAAAAATGAAGGCTGGCTCACACCTATAATCCCACCACTTTGGGAGGCGGAGGTGGGAGAATCGCCTGAGACTAGGAGTTTAAGACCAGCCTGGACAACATTCTTTGTCTCTACAAAAATTCTGAAAATAAAAAATAATAATAATAATAATAATTTAAAAACTGGGCAAGGTGGCATGCACCTGTAGTCCCAGCTACTCAGCTACACAGAAGGCTGAGGCAGGAGGATGGCTTGAGCCCAAGATTTCAAGGCTGCAGTGAGCTATGGTCGAGCGACTGCACTCCAGCCTGGGCGACAGAGTGAGACCGTCTCAAAACAAAACAAAACAAAAAATAAAACAAAATAAATAAATACAAACACAAAGTAAAAATGAAAGCTAATCCTATGACCCTCTCCTGCCCACGAGAGTTCAGGGACTTCCCAGTGCCTACAAACCTCATGCTTTTAGGAAGCATAAAGGACTTCGGGAGGCAGGAGAGCAGTTGGAGGGGGACGGTGGAGGTGCTGCTACCTGACGGTGGAGGGGGAGGCCGGGGCCAGACCACGGAGAAGCCCCTAAACCGGCACAGCAGGAAACGTCTCAGCAGTCCCTGCTCTACCCAGGCTGGAAGAGGGCCACAAGCCTTGAGCTCATTGGCTGGCGGTAGGGGGCGGGCTGCCAGCGCCTTCCTTTGATTGGCTATTTTCTTTTGGCGGAAAGCCAATCATTGCGGGCTGGTGCTGAGGATGTGGCCAGGATAGCCGCACAGGCCCGGCGCGGAGTACTGGTGCCCACGCCAGGCGCGCTCGATTGGCGGTGAGTTCTGACTCCGGCCTCCTTCGAGACACTTTCGCTCCGGATGTCGCCCACCTCCGACCCTCTCCCAGTCGGAGGGCGGGAAAGAGGAAGACAGGTCCTTCCTCCAGCCGCGGGGCACCCCCTTCTCCCTACCCTGCCCTTCCCCGAGCCCTGCAGCCCCAGAGTGTAAATATCCAAGCCCGCCCTCTCTGCGCTCAGTGTCCCCATCTGGGATAGAGGCCGGGGTAGGGGTCGCGCTGGTGGTCTGGCAGCCTCCTCTGCAGGGGGAGGAGGGAAAGGGGAAAGGAGAGGATGGGTGATTGACGTGGACTTCGAGACAAGGTAGCCGTGTCCCCGCAGCAGCATGGCCCAGGAGGAGGGTGGGAGCCTGCCCGAGGTGCGGGCGCGGGTCGGGGCCGCGCATGGCATCCCCGAACTGGCCCCAAAGCTCCACTTATGACCGCGGGCTCCGGACTACGACCAGGTAAACTCATCTGGGTCCTTGCCTCCACTAGACCAGCCTCCATTTTTCTGCCTGTGAAGTGGGGAATCAGCCTTGCACCCGGGGGTGGCTGTGAGAATGAAGTGAGGCCTGGCTAAGAAACCTACAGCCCTGCCCCTTCCAGAACCCGCCCCACAGCTCTGGATTGGCAGCACCATCAGGGGCCATGAGGTCTGCCTGGAGGAGGTGCTGTTGAGAAGGCACTGTGGGGCTGGGCGCGGTGGCTCACGCCTATAATCCCAAACCGTTTGGGAGGCTGAGGCGGGCGGATCACCTGAAGTCAGGAGTTCAAGACCAGCCTGGCCAGCATGGTGAAACCCTGTCTGTACTAAAAATACAAAAATTAGCCAGGCCCACGTGGTGGCAGGCGCCTGGTAATCCCAGCTACTCGGGAGACTGATGCAGGAGAATTGGCTTGAATCCGGGAGGCAGAGGTTGCAGTGAGCCAAGATCTTGTCACTGCCCTCTAGCCCAAGCGGCAGAGGGAGACTCTGTCTCAAAAAAAAAAAAGAGAGAGAGAGAGAGAGAGAGAGAAGTCATGTGGACTCAGCAGAGAGAGCTGCCTTGGCCAGGAGAGAAGGTCCCTGGAGGACTGAGTCTACCATACAGTGGGCTGGGGGCTAACTCTCCAGTCCTGGCCCTATAGCAATGGGAAGTACCTCATGCCTGGGCGTCCCCTCATAGTAGCCCCAGCCAGGCTTGATCCCCAACACACACAGCTTGGCCCGGCATACTCGAAGACCACCCACAAGGGGGATCCGCCAGACACTAGGGCACTGGTGTTGTAGGCCCGGCACTCTTTCCCCAGGATGTGGCCACCCTGCAGTACCGTGCCCCCCACCTCGCAGTCGCCTCACACAAACCCTTCCAGGCCTGCCCCACAGTGCCCTGATCCTGGACGTGGCCTGCGGCACAGGCCTAGTGGCTGCCGAGGTGAGGCTCTTCCAGATCCCCCGCCTACTCCTTAGCCCCGCACTTCCTCAAATCTCCTACTGTCCCTGGCCCCAGAACCCTGCCCCTCGCCTCAGACTCACTGTTCCAAATGCATGAGATGGGACCAGGCACGGTGGCTCGCACCTGTAATCCCAGCACTTTGGGGGACCAAGGCAGGAGGACAGCTTGAGGCCAGAAGTTTGAAGTCAGCCTGGGCAACATAGCAAGACCCCTGCCTCTACAAACAAATTTAAAAATTAGCCAGGCATGGTTGTGCATGCCTGTAGTCCCAGCTACATGGGAGGCTGAGGTGGGAGGATCACTTGAGCCCAGAAGTTCAAGGCTGCAGTGTGCTATGATCATGCCATTGCACTGCAGTTTGGGCGACAGAAAGAGATCTTGTCTCAAAATTTTTTGAAAAGCAAACGCATGGGCCACATTCAGTGCAGAATCCACTGCCTCCCAAGGCACAGGGACCCAGCCAGGAAGTGGCAGGTGTGAACCATGACTGAGTCTCCCACCCCTACCCCAGCTGCGGGCTCGAGGCTTCCTCCAGCTACATGGGGTGAATGGGAGCCTAGGGATGCTGGAACAGGCCCGGGCCCGCGGCCTCTATCAGCGCCTCAGCCTCTGCACCCTGGGCCAGGAGCCTCTGCCTGGCCCCGAAGGTACTTCCTCTCCCATCCCAACACCCCACGGTGCCCCCTCATAAAGCCCTTTCCCTTGCCGATCCTCCATCCCCCTCCCACACTAAGCCCCCAGTCCCTCACTCAATCCTGCACCCCATGATCTGACTGCAGCCCAGAACTGAGCCATACTTACCTTATCCTCCAGGGGACCTGGGTCCTGTAGATGCGGGTGGTAGCTTCGTCCCCTCTAGGGTGGTCTGAGGCCACACCATAGACAAAGCACCTTCCAAGCATCACACCATGTCCCCACCCCCCCGCCCCACGCACGCTGGGACCTTCAACGTGGTACTTATAGTTGGTGCCCCCAGTGACGGCCAGGTGCCCTGCAATGCAATACCTGAGCTCCTATGTGTCACCAAGCCAGGTGAGGAGCAGCCCAGCCAACCACCCCAATCCCCATCACCATACACCTTCCCCTCTGCACAGCACAGACACAGGCCCCACAGTCCCTCAGGCTAAGCGAGGGGCAGCGTTCTGCCCATCGCCACATACAGCCTAGCCTAACATCCCAGCCACCAGCAGCAGACCCACGCAAACAGGCGGGGCAGACAGGTGGCCAGCTTGGCTCTTATCCATGGGCAATCAGGAGCAACTCCACCCTCCTCTGCAGCCTCCATTTCCTAGCCTGGGAGCCAGGTGGTATAAATGTTACAATCCCGTCCCCATAGGACTAAAGTGAGAATCAGGTGAAATCCTGTCTCTAAAGCTTTTGCTTTGGTCCCGGCCCACAGTGAGGGCTTAGTTCTGTTCCCTCCTCTGCCTGCTTCCTCACTCGTTCGTGGACTGCCTTCGGGGCGTCTCTTTCTCTTTCCTGGTCTGTTTCCTCATGTGGGAAATGGGGCTGCTTAGGGGAGATGAGAGCTGTGAGCACTGTTTGTAAACTCCACACATCGCACTGTCCAGGCAGGTGTATCTCCCGTCTCCTGCTGTGTTCTTGCTGGAGGCTTTGCTCTGCTCTGGGCAGAGGGCTCAGACCCTGCCCTCTGGGCCTTGATCTCCAACCCACTGGGGCCCAGCAAGGGGCCAGAGAGCACAGGGTCTGGTCAGAGGTGGCCCCACCAGAGCCGTGAGTGCTCATTGCCCCCAGAATTTATTTACTTATTTATTTATTTATCTAATTTGAGACAGAGTCTCACTCTGTCGCCAAGGCTGGAGTGTAGCGGCACGATCTCAGTTCACTGCAACCCTCAAGAGATTCTCCTGCCTCAGGCTCCCAAGTAGCTGGGATTACAGGAGCCCACCACTGCGCCCAGCTGATTTTTGCATTTTTAATAGAGACGGGGTTTCATTATGTTGGTCAGACTGGTCTCGAACTCCTGACTTCAAGTGATCCACCCGCCTTGGCCTCCCAAAGTACTGGAATTACAGACTTGAGCCACCACGCCCGGCCCTGCTCCGAGAATGTAGAGAAGAGAGGCATTTCTGAGACCAGGTGAGGAATCCACGTAGGGCACAGCCTAAGGCAGAAAGGAGAGGGGCTGAGCATGAGAACCAGGAGGCGCAGGACAGGAAATCACAGAGGTAAAAATGCTTCCTCTCCCTCCTCTCTCCGCACCCCTTGCCACACCCAGCAGAGACTGTGGCTAAGCCTGGGCAGGTCTGGGCAGGCATCCAGGGGAGCCCTGAAGGCTGACAAATGCAGGGACATGGATGAGGTCAGCCGAAAAGGTCGAAGTTGGGCCGAAGAAGACAGGAACTTTCTACTGGGTGAAGCAGCCAGGATCAGACATCCTAGACCAACCTGTGCTTGCTAAGCCCCTCAGCCCTATCGGGCTGCCCACGGGTAATGGTCTCCCCTGCTCCGGAGCCTCTCCTCTCACCGCATTCCCTTCTACCAGCAACGCCCTGCTTCTCCTTACCCTCTCCTCCAGGAAACCTTCCCAGACCAGTCACTGGGTCTTCCCCATCTCTCCTTCTCAGTGCACCTGAGGCCACCCTGGGCACACTATAGGTGCCTGGACCTGAGGTGACAAGGTCATTCAGCCAACACTTACTGTCAGGCACTTCAAACACACATACCAGCCTTCCTGTGATGTTAGATAATCATCCTCTGCGCCAGCTGGGAAACTGAGGCCCAGAGAGGTGAAGGGACTAGCCCAAGATCCAAAGCCCACATGTGGGTTTTCTTCCTGTCCATTCAGACACAGTCACATCCTCCGGCAGAGGCGTGGGTGAGTGGTGAGGAGGGCGTCTCCTCAATCTAGGAGATTAAGTCAAGAATTCCCCACCAGGCACAGCAGCTCACCCCCATAATCCCAGCACTTTGGGAAGCCGAGGCAGGAGGACCCCTTGAGCCCAGGAGTTCAAGAGCAGCCTGGACAACATAGCAAGACCCCATCTCTAAAAAAAAAAAAATTAATTAGCTAGGCGTGGTGGTCAGCACCTATGGTCCCAGTTACTCAGGAGGCTGAGGTGGGAGGATTGCTCGAGCCCATGAGTTGGAGGCTACAGTGAGCTATGACTGCGCCACTGCACTCCAGCCTGGGAAATAGGGTGAGATTCTATCTCAAGAAAGAAAAAAAAAGCGGAGGGCCAAGCACAGTGGCTCACATCTGTAATCCCGGCACTTTGGGAGGCCAAGGTGGGCAGATCACCTGAGGTCAAGAGTTTGAGACCAGCCTGGCCAACATGGCAAAACTCCGTCTCTACTAAAAATACAAAATAGCTGGGTGTGGTGGCGCATGCCTGTAATCCCAGCTACGAGGGAGGCTGAGACAGGAGAATCACTTGAACCTGGGAGGCGGAGGTTGCATTGAGCTAAGAGCATGCCATTGCACTCCAGCCTGGGTGACAGAGCAAGACTTGGTCTCAAAAAAAAAAAAAAAAAAAAGAAAGAAAGGAAAAGGAATTCCCGATGTAAAAGACACAGGAAGACTGCCCTGGGAAGGAAACTGAAAAAATTTATTGCCTTGAAGGTACAACCCTCCCCAGCAGAGATGGCCTAGGACTGTGGCTCCTGTCCCTCCCCTACCTCATCTACCCCTCTCCCCCGGGGTGGGCTGGTGTGTCTGACCACCAGGACCAACTCATCCAACCTTCAAAACAAGGAGGCTCTGGAGGCCACCCTGGGCAGGCTGGAACAGGCTGGGGCATGGGAGCACCTGGTGGGCTGGCCTGTGGACTGCTGGGAGCTGGCTACCTCCGAGCTGGAGGTGGTATCCGGCATCTCTGCCAAAGATGGCTTCATCTTGGGCATTGTCTACCTGTACCGAAAGCAGAAGGCGGCCCAGGTTGAGGAAGTGAGATCCAGCCCCCAGCCCCTAGCTGGCCTCTAACTCCATGTGGCCTTAGGTGGGCCCATCTGCTGGGCCTCCTCTGCCTCCCCTGCAAAATGGGACCTCTGAACCAACCCTGCCCCTCAGAAATGCCCTGCCTATTAAATGAGCTCCCAGAAGGGACAAAAGGACTCATGATTCTGCAGTTCTCTAGCCCCAGAAAAGAGTGACATCTGTTCTGTGGGTTCCAGAATCGAGACGTGGCAGGGTGTGGTGGCTCACACCTGTAATCCCAACGCTTTGGGAGGCCAAAGCAGGAGGATCACTTGAGACCACCAGTTCAAGACCAACCTGGGCAACATAGTGAGACCCCCATCTTAAAGAAAAACTGTAAAAATTAGCACTTCGGGAGGCCGAGGCGGGAGGATCACTTGAGGTCAGGAGTTCGAGACCAGCCTGGCCAACATGGCAAAACCTTGTCTCTACTAAAAACACAAAAATTAGCCAGGCATGGTAGCACACGCACGTAATCCCAGCTACTTGGGAGGCTGAGGCAGGAGAATTGCTTGAATCCAGGAGGCGGAGGTTGCAGTGAGCTGAGATGGAGCCATTGGGTAACAGAGCAAGATTCTGTCTCAAAAAAAAAAAAAAAAGTAAAAATTAGCCAGGTGCCATGGGTGCATGCCTGTAGTCCCAACTATTCGGGAGGCTGAGACAGGAGAATCACTTGAACCCGGGAGGCAGAGGTTGCAGTGAGCCTAGAGCGTACCAGTGCACTCCAGCCTGGGCAACAGAGCAAGACTCTGTCAAGAAAGTAAGAGAGAGAGAGAGAGAGAGAAAGGGAAGGAGGGAGGGAAGGAAGGAAGGGAGGGAGGGAGGAGCAAGAAGTGATGGAGAAGACCCCTCCCTGGGGCCTCCCGGGGTCACTCCTTCCAGGGTGCTGGGTCCACTCACCTCTAACTTACTGACAAGAAAATGAGAAAATGAAGCCGAAGCAACCTTGGAACATCCTTTCCACAACAGCGGCAGGGCAGACCCAAGGCCAAGGCCAAGCCCAAGTGGTTGCTGAGGCCCAAGCCCTGTCCTGGACTGCTTCCCCACCCAAATTCGGAGTCCAAAGTCCCAAGCTGTAGGTCTGGGCCTGGGCCACACTCCGTTCCCTCATCGATCAATGGATAAGAATGCCGAGCTCTGGACGTGGCTTGGAGGCTGCCCTCCAGGTGAAAGGCATTTGGTGACCCTCAGCACCTCAGGGGTGTGAACAGGGCTGATAATAATTTCTCCATCCAAGAGAGTGGGAAGACTTCATGGGGGAGGCGCCTGGGAGCTGGGCTTTCAGGACAAGCAGGATCCAGAAGGGTGGAGAAGGGAAAAGGGACATTCCAGGCTGGGAGCAGGGACCGGCTATGCAAAGGCTGGGAAGGGGAACCTGGGTGACTCAGCAAAGAGGAATAGACCGGCCTGGCTGCCCAGACAAAGCTGGAGCAACAGCGGGGTGGGGGTGGCTGGTGGCCCATACCTCAGAGCTGGGAGCCCATGTGGGGACCTCCCTCCTAGGGTCCCCAACCCTTCACCAGAGTCCCAGGCATACACTGTTTCCTGTATATGGGTTTACCCTCCAACCAATGAAGGGCCCCCATCTGGACAAGGTGATACCTTGGGGGCCCATTTTATTTTATTTTATTTTATTTTTTAGGTGATGGCTTGGGGATCCATTTCTTTTTTTTTTAACTTTGATACTTTGGAGGCCCATTTAATTTATTTTTTAAGGTGACACCTTGGAGGCCCGTTTCGTTTTTTTTTTGTTGTTAAGAGATAAGGTCTCGCCCCATCACCCAGGCTGAAGTGCAGTGGTGCGATCAAAGCTCACTGCAGCCTCAAACTCCTGGGCTCAAGCAATTCGCTTACCTCAGCCTCCCCAAGTACAGGGATTACAGGCATGAGCCACCAGGCCCAGCTCATTTTTTAAACTTTTTGGAAAGATGGCGCCACAATGTTGCGCAGGCTGGTCTCAAACTCCTGCCTCAAGGGATCCTCCCACCTCGACCTAGTAAAGTGCTGGGATTACAGGTGCTCACTACCACACCCAGCCCAGCTCCAGTTTTTCACAGTTCCCTGGATCTCGTTTTTTTTTTTTTTAAGTGTTCATGTACTGGCCAAAACACAGTGGACCTGCCCCTCACCTCCCCCCTTCCCAGGCCTCCAGCCCTGCCCCACCCGCCTCCACAACTGAAATCAGAGACAATACAAGTTCCTCCTGTGCACAGGTTCCATTTATTGTAGAAAATAATAATAATTACAGTGATGAATAGATCTTCTTAAATTACAAAACAGAAACCACGAAGAAGGAGGAGGAGGAAAAACCCCAGGACTCCCGAGGGTGAAGCCGTCCCCTCCTCCCTGCCACCCTCCCCGGCTGGTTAGTGTCCTTGGCAGGGGCAGAGGACTCAGAGGGGATCAGTCTCCAGTGGCCCAGGGCTGAAGTGGGTGAGGCAGAGTCCTGAGGCCACAGAGCTGGGCAGCCTGAGCGGCCTCTCTGGCCCCCTCCCCCACCACTGCCCAAACCTGTTTACAAAGCCTTCACCCCTCCCCTCCAAACCCGTCCATCCACTCTGCACTCCTCAGGCAGGTGGGTGGGCAAGGCCTCAGCCATACTCCTGGGTGCGGGTTTCGGTGAGCAAGGCACAGTCCTAGAGGTGACATCAAGGCCTGCCCGGAACAGAGGAGATGCAGGCAGACAGAGTGGGGAAAATGTAAATGGGGACAGTGGCCAACACCGATGCAGGCAGAGCCCAAAGTCACGGTTGAGCCATCCTGGCCAGCAGAAGCCAGGTCCCCACTCCACCACCACACCCTGTCACTTCCGTCCCTCCACAATATCCAGAGGAGGGTGGACTCTGTTCTTGCTAGCAGGAGGCGGCCTTGGGAAGGTGTCCGAATGGGCCAGAGAGGCTGAAGGCTGCTGCCTTCCTGCCTGGCTCAGTCTCTGCCCAGTCCCCAGTCCCCAGCAGCCAGTGGCCCGTGGCAGGGCCCTCCTGGGGTCACAGCCTGTGCTGAGCTCAGTCCAGGGAAGAACAAAGCAGAGAGGGACAGAGTGGAGCCGTGGCACCTTACACGTAGTTGCTGGCAGCAGCAGAGCGGGCGGCAGAATACTTGGCAGAGTAAGGCTTGTCTGTACGGGGTGGGCAGTTGCAGCAAAGCAGCCCCCCGCCAAGGAGCAGCAGGCCGGAGGCGGCCCAGCCGACGTAGAGCGAGGCACCCATCTCCCGCTTCTGCCCGGAGGCCACCAGCGGGTTGTAGAAGTCTTGGATGATGTTGTGGGCCGTCCAGGACACGGGCACTATCACCAGCAGGCCGGCCAACAGGAACACCACACCCGCCACGATCATGGTCTTGGCCTTGGCACTCTCATCCTCCAGGCAGTTGGTACACTTGCCCCCCACCACAGACAACAGCACGCCCAGAGCGGCCACGATGATGCTGATGATGACGAGGGCACGGGCCGCCTGCAGGTCCTGTGGCAGTGCCAGCAGCGAGTCGTACACCTTGCACTGCATCTGGCCGGTGCTCTGCACCACGCAGTTCATCCACAGGCCTTCCCAGATGGTCTGCGAGGTGACAATGTTGCTGCCGATGAAGGCCGTCACGCGCCACATGGGCAGCGCACAGCACAGCATGACGGCCAGCCAGCCCAGGACGGCCAGCGCGATGCCCGTCACCTGTAGCCCCATGGAGGCCATCGCTCAGCGTCCGCAGAGATTGAGGACCTGGAAGGCTGAGGGGATCCGGCTGTGGAGGCCGTAGGATTCCAAGTGCTGGGGACGGACTTAACGTTGGCAGAGAGCTCCTTTGCACCGTGAGTCAGGAGATAAAGCCAGTCCTGATGCACAAGCCAGTGAGTGTGAGCAGACCAGTTCCTTCCAGCCGACAGCTGCCAGGGCACTCTCTCTCTCAGGACAGGTTGAGCGGTTATATGGCTCTGGCAGAGGGGCGGGGGCAGAGGGAGGGGTTTTCGTCACTGGGACCTCCTCCTGACCAGTTTCTCTGGATTCCTGAGCCCAGGCCAACAAAGGCACTTTTGAGGCCCCTGCCCCTGGCCCCTGAGTCACTATCCAGTCTCAGAAGAAACTACCCTGTCCCCTTCCTCAAAGCCCATGCTGAGGTCACCCGGGAGACAGACACTGAATCACAGCCCAGGGACAGCTGGATATTCACAGGGCAAGGCCAGGGGGCAGCCAGACCCACCCAGGTTTGGGAGCCTGAAGACCAGGGTCCCCACAGGCCAGGGTCCCCTCATTCTAGGTTTAGGTGGGAGGACAGGGTGGAGACCCTCAGGGAGAGTTTGAGGATGCAGTTTCGGAAACATCCACGAGAAACCGCACCTTGATTACTGTCCTTTCTTGTCCTTATCAGTTTCATCACTGGCAGTTTCACTGCTGTTGTGATTATGATCATTCATGCATCTGGGCCTCACCAGCAGCTTGTGCGGCACTGGCCGGATAAAGTTATGTGTAGGGGAGTGAGGAGCCGGGAAGCCGGGACTCCTGGGTACATCACCCACTCTCACCCATCTCTATCACCCAGCTTCTCTGTTTGGCTAGAAGAGGGACCTTGGACATGATGTACCTTTAGCCAAAAAGAGACAGAAGCCTGCCCCTCTCCACCTCCACAGAAGTTTAGTCTGGTGGGCTCTGTTCCTGCCAGGGGCCACCCTGCTTGCCCAGAACTGGGTGGGGCTGGTCACCAACGACGACAAACATTAACTAGATCCTGGAGACATCATCACCCCAGTAAATGGGTGTTTACCCTGTGGAGACATACAAAGCCTTCCAATAAAGCCAGGGTGGGTGCAAAGTCCCATGAGATTTCAAAGGGAAGGGGAACTCTTCCGGGGTGGGGAGGTGTGGTGCTGGGGGAGCTTGACTGCAAAGGGGTGCTGGGTGGCACAACTCCTGGGGGCACTGGATTCTTGGATTATGCCACAGAAGGCATCATGAACGGGTCCCCCAGAAAAGTTTTGCAAGACAACGGGACTGGCTGCGGGACGACATTCTGGTAGACGGTGGGCCAGGCTGGACAAACGCAGCTCATTCTGGGAACACAGCCCTTAGGAGAGATGTGCAAGGCAGCGAGACTGGTGAAGGAGGACATTCGGGCAGAGAGAACAAGGACAGAGGTGGCAAGGTGGGGAAGGGCAGCTTGTTCTGGGAACAGCCAGGAATCCAGTTTGACCAGAGACTGGGCTGGGGAGGGAGGTTCCAGAGTAAAAGAGTCAGAAATTTCTGCCCGGAATGTCACCGAGCCCTGGGAGATAGAGGGAGGGAGGAGGGTCAAGGATCAGGAAGATCTGGGTTCAGGGCAG